ATAGGCGGGAAAGCCAGACAGGAATTAGGGGTGGAGCAAAGAGACTGGGAGTATTCTGGGACGCAGGAAGCTCCCTCTCCAGTTCTGCCCAGACCACCGGAGAGGAAAGATGTAAGCTGCCCCGCTGGAAAAGGTACTGAGCCATGTGCTAACGTAGATAAGGATAATGGGGTAACATAAGTTATAAGAGCTAATAAGTAGCCTGACCTAATGGGTCAATCAGTTTATAATCTTATGGAGTCCTGTGTGTGATTTTCGTTGGGAGTTGCTGGCTGTGGGGTACCAGGCGGGACAGAAACCCCAACAAGCCGGCCCCTCGTGTTACACCCCACCGTGGCAGACCACTCAGAGTGGCCTTTAGCCTCTGGCTTCCAAGTCGCCTGGACCAGAGCCAGGTGTCAGACTTTTAATACCCCGCTTGTAGCGAGGAGAAGTCCTCTATAAGCCTCGCAGCATTCGTTCATTGTTTTCACGTTTTCTGCTATGGTATAAACCCTCAAACTATCAGCCACCCACCTGGAAATGCTCTGCCAGTGCCCTACTGGCTCTGCTTTTCCTCAAACTGTCTCTGCCACAGCTACACTGGTCCCATGGAAACCAACAAGACAGACAAGATTAGTCAGATCCACGAGGCAGCTGTTTTCAATTACAACCTTCCCGTGGCAGCTTGTGGTGTGGCGGTTTGGTGACAGAGTGGATCACTCCTCTAGGTCTCTCTTGTTATTATGTTTAAAACCCCAGCGGCCCAAAAAATGTGACTTCTCCATACAATATGTGACCACCACCATTTTGACTAAGGTCAGGTGACCTTACCGCTATCTTAACTGAGGTCAGGTAACCAAGTCCCACCATCTTCACTGAGGTATTCCCTGCCTGGTCCCCCGGTGCCGACTCTGTCACATGTGTGTTTTGCTCAGTGGCATGCCTTGGGTAGGGTCCACCAAGAGCATCTACTTCGCCCAATTCCTGTTCACTATGTGTGTGCGCATACATGCAACTTAAATGTATCTATGTTTATCGTTAAATGTTATAATTGCCTGTTCATTGTATCTCATTCCAGACTACAAAGCAGTAAGTCTCATGTTTTAAATTGGTATGTACTTTTAGTCTGTTACTCCAACCCTGCTTTACCTGTTGACAGCCAGTACAGTCAAGCTCGGACCCAGCTCTCCAGGGAGATTCTATAGTGTAGTTATAACTCATCTATACCCGGTAAACAGTCCTCAACTGCTCAGATGTTGAAATAACCAGGCTAGCTAATGATAAAACAATTATATTTTATTTATTATAAGGGGAAAACTCACGAATCAGGAAACAAGAAATCCAAGCACAGCAACGTCCCACGAGGAAAAGGCGTGAAGGGCGCGCACACGAAGGTGCACACCTTTTACCTGGGTCCCAGAGAAGCCACGCCTTAACTAAAACCCACCTCTTAAAGATTATTGGTTAACAAGGCTTTCCCCATCACTCAAAGATCTGGGGAGATATGCTGCAGGAGCTCCTTCCGCTCCTTCAGCCAGTAGTCTTTAAGGTACCAGCCTACTTGGACGTGGCCTCTTTTACTTTAAAAAGCAGTGGTAGCTATGCGCTCGCTCTCTTGCCCCGCCTCTACTTCCTGTCTGGTTGTCCCGCCTATACTTCCTGCCTGGCTCCTGGCTAAACAGAGTTTAAAACATAACTGACAGATACAGATTGTTCCACACCACTTCCCCCTCATGTTACAGGAATATGGCACTTAATGCTTAATTATTAAAAATTTTTCATAACAGAAAGAGACAGGTTGGCTCCTAGCAGCGGCACTCTATTTCCTCCAAAGAAGACAGGAGGGTCCAGAATAACATCCATCCGCAATTAGCTTCAACTGCCAAGCACTGACTATTGGGAAAAACTGGCTTTCATCTAAACTGAGGATCTCCAGACAGTGCACAGAATTGCTAGAATTGATAGCCTAGCTGCTCAGGTCAAGGTAGACTTGTTTTCCTACAGATTTCTTAGCCCACAGAATCTTCTGGAGCCTGGTAGGCCCTGCACCGAAGAGCAAAAGAAAAATACAACCCTCAGTGACCATGGAGGACCCTGAGGAGTAGCTCTAAGTACCAACCAAGTAAGTTCGCTTGTTTTTAATCAAAAACTCAAGTAAAATTTTATCCTTCTCTAAGATCTGATACAGTTTGTCAGGTGTTGGTTTGAAAGGACAGCCTTACCAAACAAATTTCAGGAAAATACAAATACAAGTTATAAAGGTATGAGGACAAGTGCACGATATCAAATTTCTCTCTCATGCTGCCTTTCATAGTCTTAAAGATACTTTTAATTATGCAAAATATCTGTCACAGTCATTCTGATATAAATATGCTGTTGTTTAAAACGTATGTTTTCACAAACCCCCAAATTCTTCTGAGTTCCAGGGTGCCACATTGAAGGATCCACCTTAAACAGGTAAGATTCCCTGGTCCTAAAACATTTTTTTTTCCTAAACTTAACCTTGTCCTCTGTTCTGCCAACACCTTAAGCAGGTGTAAGAGACACCAGACATTTCCAAACCACAAACACCAGACGGGAGCAAAGAGGCCAGTTATGCCAGGATGTGACCAGCACCCAGCTTTCTCAGCTGCCGACTGTTGCCACTTGGGGAACAGCGCCGTTTTAGTTAAACCACAACACTTTCAACATAATTCCCACAATCATGCCTTTGAAACTTCCTTTAAGACTGACAACTCTCAACATATCTTCTTTTCCAAGATATGCGTGTAAAGGTCAGAACTGATTCTCTCCTATGTGGAACCTGGGAGCCAGACTCAACTTGTCAGGCTTAGAGGCAAGTGCCTTTACACACTGAGTTATCTTACCAGACCTAAAAATGTCCTAATAAATACTGATAGGTTAACAAATAAAAGCAATTGTCTTTATTTTTAAAAAGTTCATGTTAGAGAAATGTGAAATCAATACATTGAACAAAATTTCCATGTATCCCTGAATTTGTGCCCAAGAAAAATGGAAAGAAAAAATTGTAGGAGTCTGTCAGGACACACACAGATGTGAGCCTGCTCCCCCTTGTCTGAAGGGCAGAGATTTGAGCTTATTTTTACTTTCTCAAGTTGTTGACAAGTGGGGCTACACACCCTGACCTAGGCTGTGGTGAGTTGGAGTTTTGGACTTTAAGATGGCCCATTGAGGTGAATTCGCTCCACCCTGACCAGAGGTCAGAGAATTCAAGCCTACTTCTCTTTCTTTTAAAACAGGAGGATTGACATAGGGAGTGGCGGCCTGCAGATTACTTGGTCTAAGGTGTGTTCACTGCCCCAAGCATCAAATACTTTACTCAGGAAATAATGGCTTGATGTCTCAAGTATTGAAGCAAGTACCTGTTCTAACTGTTCTTTGTGTCATGGTAAAGCAGTCTGGCCCCCCCATTGTACTGGGTTATGAAAGTGTATGGGAGAACTCAGAATTCAGCATTCAGTCTCCGCTGAGTCGCCCTTCTGGTGCTATCCTGTGTCTCTGTGTTTCTTTCTCATCTCTATCCCTCCTACCTAACATTTCTAATCCTCATGCCCTGACCCTGGAACCTCCAAACCAGTCATGTCTGGACTGCGGCAGAAGACACCCCAAAAGGTGGCTTACAACAGAAGTAATATGCTCTTTAAAAAAGGCAAAGAGTCTTTTTTAGGAATAAAAATTTAATTTTACTCCATATCTACCTACTTTTTATAAAAAGCTACATGTGTATTAGGTTAATGTGTATGTGTTAAAGGTTGTAATACCAGAATATCCTATGTGTTTCTTTAAAGACAGAATATTTAAATAACAAAGCAGATGAGAACTTACCATTTCTTTACTAGTAAACCTGGAGAGCTGCCCTTTGTAACTCCACCACTGGTAACATCGCTGTGGTGCCCTGAGCCCTGAGAAGCAGCAGCGCGCGAGAGAAGGTCCATGTGCTCTTATTTCCTGGGGATACAGTTTATCACGGTAGCAGCAAGAGTGGGAAGCAGGCTGGTTGTACAGAATCAGGAGAAAGTGACAGGGACCGGCACTGAGCTATCAAAGGTGAAGCCCTACCCAGTGTTTCTCCAGCAAGGTTCTCGCTGCTGAAAGATCCACAACTTCCAGAACAAGGCCACCAACTGTGGACGAGTGTCTGAACAGTTGGGTCTCTGAGGAACATTTCACATTCAGGCCACAACCAGTCAACATTAGAGAGAACACTACACTTGCACAGACAGCAAATCCTATAGCATATGCCTCAAAAAACCCAAGAAGCACATATGTTTGTCTCTACTGTGATATCTGAGAATATCCATTTGTGCCAATAATGGTTACACTTATTTTAGAAGACAAAACTTTTAGAAAAATTAAAAGTGTAATATTTTAGCCATTTTATGGACCAAGTTTATCCAAATACTCCTACAACACAAAAAGTTATTTTTAAAGTGTTAATGCTTCTTTATGAGTTAAATGTAGGGAAAATGTCAATTTTTATTTCTTTTAAAAATTATTGTGTATGTTTTGCCCACATATATGTATACCATGTGTGTACGGCGCCCATGGAAGCCAGAGAGAGCAGTGGATGCCCCGGAACCGAAGTTCCAGACAGTTGTGGGTACTGTGAACTGAACCCAGGTCCTCTCTGGAAGAGATGCTATTGATCTCAACCTGGGTCATCTTGCATGTAGTGAGTTAGAAACACTTCTGGAAATTAGATTTATTTAACTGACTGTATCATAATCACTCTTCTCAAGCACAGTACTGAGGGCACGGGGAACTTTTCACATAACGGGCAGTACTATTTTAAATACGTTTCTGGCTCAGTCTCTTATCCTTTTCTAACAACAAAAGGAAATATAACAAAACTAAGGGAAAGGCTAGGTTTACTAATGAACCTTCATGGATGTGTTTCGTAGCATTATAAAGTGACTGAACATGAAAACCAATGCCAACAAGGACAATGGTACTTTTAACGTATAAAATGCTTTGATGAAAAAAATTACAAATACATATATGGATATATTAAAATTTTAATGTAAATCAACACAGGATTGTAACGTAAAATCCATGATACAATAAACCCTGTATCATTTATTTCTGATGAAACATACGAACACTTTGTACTGTACATTTATCCTCCCACCAACACTAGAGATCACTGTCACCAAATACAATACGCTGTTGAGCAGGGAGGGGTACTTCCTGTTTCATACACCGCACACAGAATGTAATAAAGTGCTTTTTGCTTCACTGGAATAAGTAAAACAGAATGGCATTTCTTACATTGCCATCTCATTTAGTTATTTAAATTATTTATCTTCTGAGCTGGAGATCAAACTCAAGAGTTTCACATTTCAGAGGCAAGTGTTCTACCCCTGAGCTACATTCCAATCATACTTAACATTCTCATTCCTGGGCCATTAAGATGGCTCAGTGGGTAAAGGCACTTGCTGCTAAGCCTGGGGACCTCAGTTCAAATCCCAAGACCCACATGGTGGAAGGTAAGAACTAACTCATCAAAGTTTTCCTCTGACCTTCATACATACACAGACATACACAAAGAACAAGTAAATCTAATTTTTAAGAACCTCATTCCTACTTGATGATAAATATATTCACGTTTCATGTACAACTTATACAAGCAGCCAGAAGGCAATCTGTGTGATATTTCTGTGTGCACACATTTTGTATGCTGTCACCGAAGGAAGGCCGTGATTTCCCACTTGTAGCAGCATCGTCTGGGGATATCACAGAAAAGACTTGAAATTTTTGGATTGTTTATTTTGGTCTTTTAGATTAGGGTATGTAGAAATGACCTAGAGAACTCTACAACAATGACACTTGGAAGACAAGCTAGGTAAAGAGCACATTCCTGTGCTCAGAACCATTTTCTCCCACTAGTCTAAGTACAGCATGGTTTTCTACTGCAGATCCAAATTTGCGTGATTATACATCAGTGAAAATACGCCCCACAGAAACATTAGAGAAGGGTTGTTAGTCTTAAAATGTCAAGAGCCACATTGTGTACATGACTATACTCTGGTTCATATAAAGTGGTCACACCTTTCATTGGGGAAATTCCAAACTGCGGGAGGCCTTAAAGCAGTCTCAGGAGCCAGGGAACACCGAATGCTTCAATTGAGAAGTTCCCAGCTACCATCGGAGGTATGTGAGCAATGCCGCCTGACACCTCCTCCTACTCTCCGGAATCCAAGTGTGTGTGATCAGACTGCATGAGAATGAACTTAAATCTCTAGACTGCACTATTCAGTACCCAATCCAAATGCCCTGATGCACCACCATATTCAAGCACTAACTTATGCTGAAATATGGAATGCTATATGCACTCAGAAATCTCTTTCTCTCCTAAGAAGTAATTTTCTCTGCAAGATTACAAAATAGCTGCAGCTTCTGGATTATGTTTTTAAAATCTCATAAAATTAAAACTAGGATTATGGTTTAGAGGTAGATTAGAAATTATTATTCATTTAAATTATAGGGAAGACAGATAAATTCACACTGTAAGAGAATAATGTTGAAAAAAACCCATCTTGCCTATCAATCTTCACCTCGTTTGGCTTTGGTTGACATTTTAAGTCAAAAGTCCATCAAGAGAATTACTGCCTTTCAATGTTTTGTTTCTGGAAAAAAGCCTTTCCAAATTCATATGTGCTGATCATAATGGCACAAGCAGGAGCAATTTTGATTAATCGAGGAATCAGACCTGAAAAAAAGAATGGGAGGGAATAAATTTTATTTTTTAGTTTTTAGTTTTTCAAGACAGGGTTTCTTTGTAGTTTTGGAGTCTGTCCTGGAACTAGCTCTTGAAGACCAGGCTGGCCTTAAACTCACAGAGATCCACCTGCCTCTGCCTCCCAAGTGCTGGGATTAAAGGTATGCACCACCACCGCCCAGCTTACCTTATTTTTTAAAAATGCAGCATTATGACCAAATTTAATGAATTCCAATACCAAATCCCATTATCATAAACAGGTAGTACAGAGCAGAGCAAACTGCTCATTCCCAACTTCACAGTCACATTGTACTTATAACAATAAAGCTACTATTGAACACTACTTTAACATAACAACATTTAAGAGAAAATAATAAATATAAAATATTAAGTATCACTTCTTCTGAGAAGTGAATTACAGAAGATTTAAAACTAATAATTGTGTTCAAAGACTGTAAAGCAAGGATTTTTACCTGTAAACAACCCAGAAAATCCATTTTCAGAAACAATGTTCTTCATTATAGCCCAGGTTGACACATGCAAAGGCACAGGAACTATAAATGTTAAAAGAAAAAAACAACACCGTAAAACACAATTAACAATCTGTATCACAGATCTGTCCTGGTCCTTGCTCTACTGCTGTGAAGAGACACCGTGATGAAGGCAGTTCTTGTATAAAAAGACACTTAACTGGGCTTCCATAAGTTCTGGAGTTAGTCCATGATCATTGGGGCAGGGAGCAGAGAAGCATGGTGCTGGAGCAGTAGCCGAGAGCTCAGGCAGCAGAGGGGGAGCACTGGCCAAAGCCCAACCCCACTGATACATCTCCTCCAACAGACCACACTTATTCCCACAAGGCCACACCTCTTAATCCTTTTCAAACAATTCCACTAACTGGGACCAGGCATTCAAATATATGAGCCTATGGGGCCATTCTTAGTCAAACCTTTACAAGATCATATATAAATAAAAGTGTATATTATCTTTGGTTATTTCATTGTAATAAAATATGTTTATCTAGGAGTTACTTTCAATCTGTTTTGCTTTGCTCTACTCAGATATGTTCTTAGTACATAGCCTAGGCGGACCCATTCTCTAGCTGAGGCTAACCTCAAGCCCACAATCTTCCTGACTCAGCTTCCTGAGTGCTGGGGTACGAATGTGAACCACCAGACCCAAATTCAATTTTTAATACCTGGCCTCCTTAAACAGGCAGCAACTCTACATGCAAATGTGTACTCAGTATACAAGCAAGGAAGACCACACACAATCAAATCAGTGATGTTACTGTTAGTCCTTTCTTTAATGACCAGAGTCTCCACAACGAAAAATGGAGGCTATAGAAAACCCACCTAATATATCTAATGTATTCTCATCTAAAGCAATTACAGAAACAACATTTTCATTTCAATTTTATTATCTGTAGTTTTAACAGAAGAAAAAAAAAGTCTCTGTCTAAGAATGGTTCCGAGGATGAGTCTTTCTCCTAATGCAGTTCTGTTTCAAGCACAGCTTTCTAATCTGGTCTGTAATATTTCCTTCAAATGATAGGTTCTAGGTAGCAACACATCTCAGTTATTCTACTCGAGTATGGGGGTGAGGGACAAGATATGAGAACTTCGCTAAAAGGGGATGACACTAAATAACTGTGCACACCTTTACCTTCATCACACAGTTTCTATCCAGTTGGCTGAGTCCACAGAATAAAGACACAGGAAGTTTGGAAACAATCCTCAGAAGCAGGCAAGCTCTCCTGTGAACAGCCCACTCCCAGTCGAAGAGCTGTCTATGCTTGGGGCCAGCCGGATAATGAACAAACAACCCTATGCTGCCTCCTCTGGTCTTAAAAACTACATAATAAGATTTTATTTAGCAATGTTTATACTAAGGCCAATCTGTAGTCATGAAGACAGACTGAAGGACACAAGACTGAAGCAAGCAAGACAGACAGAGAGATTACAGAAACTATCCTCTAAAAATGCCTGTTTTAACTGCAGACTGGACAAGGAGATTAAAGAAAGTCCAAGACCTAGCAATATGCTGACTTGACAAAATCCACATCACATGTGAAGAAACAGACACAGAAAGAAAACAGAAGCCAAACCACACAGGAAGGGCTGTGCTTAAGGCACTGGCTGGCTCCTCTCCTCTCAGGGCTCTCATAAAAGCCAGAGTCTTCCTCTGTAGGCAACCAGGCCACAGCTCAGGATCTTCCTGCCTCAGTTTCCAGGGTCTTGGGATTATAAACATGCACCACCTCGCAGTGACTGACAAAATAGATTTTAAGGCAAAAAGGATCCAAAAAGACAACAATCGCTACATTGTATTAATTCCCTAAATATTTCTTAAGAATGAAAATGATTAACAATTTAAATAATATTAAGCTATCAAATATGTTTGGAGAAACTTAAGCTCTAGAAAACAGACAAATTTGGGTTAAGTTTAAAATGGTGTTTAAAAAGTTAATAATGAATCTGTGCACTTATGAATATGTACCGTGGCACACATGAGGGGATCAGAGGACAGCTTGTTGGAGACAGTTCTCTCTCCGCTGGGTGGGACCTGGGAACTGAACTCAGGTCATCAGGCTAGGTGGCAAGAGTCTTACATGGTAAACAATCTTAGTGGTCCAAGTTTTTAAGAAGTTAAATAAAAACGATGTTTTCATAGATGAGGTAAATGTTATAGAACTGGAACTTACTATACCCTATGTGCTTCTAAATGTTCCCTGTCTTCTGGTAGGTTGTTTTTTATTTATTTATTTATTTATTTAATTTTTATGCATGCAATATCTGCCTACATGTGTGCCTGCAGGCCAGAGAGGGCACCAGATCTCATTACAGATGGTTGTGAGCCACCACATGGTTGCTGGGAATTGAACTCAAGACCTTTGGAAGAGTAGGCAATGCTCTTAACCACTGAGCCATCTCTCCAGCCCCGCTTCTGGTAGGTTTTTGAATATTTTAATCATTGGTGCTCTGCTGCCTGGTACCTAACGCAGAACAGACACTCAGTAACTGAGTAAGAGATGAAGAGTGGGCATATCATTCCATACATGGTTCACTGACTTTATGCCTGGTTTGGGGCGCTTTGAATGGGAATGGCCTCTACATGCTCCTGGGTTTAATCCTAGGTTCCCAGCTGGTGCAATTATTTGGGAAGGATTGGGTATGGCCCCGTTGGAGGAGATGTGTCTCTTGTCTGTCTCGCTCTGCCTCAGATGTGAGCTCTCAGCTACCGCTGCAGCCCCTGCTCGCCTGCTGCCATGGTCCCTGCCTAACAGTCATGGACTGCCCCTCTGAACTCCAACCCCATGAAATGCTTTCTTCTGCAAACTGCCTTGGTGACGGTGTTGTCACAGCGACAGGAAAGTGACTAAGACACTTGGAGATAAATGCCGTCACTTCAAAACTGAGCAAAGTTATTCGGAGGGGGGGGGATAAATAATGTATAATAAAAATGATGTGTAATATGAAACAGCTCCAGACTATTTATTGTATAACTTTACAACCCCTATGTACATTGTTGGAGTGGTAATCCATCAGTTACTCAAGAGGAGCAATAGGTCAAAGTGGACAGTGGGGATCTAAGAAAAACAAATCCGCTCTCCTTTAAGGTTCCACACTGTGAGCTGAAAAGGAGAGGCATTGTCTAGAAAAAAGCAGTAACAGGTAAGACTTCAGCCACTGACAAGGACAGCTTCCTGGTCTCAGTCTCGGCGCCACCATGTCGCTTACGAGAAATGACACCAGACAGAAGACTCCTGCCACAGATGCTTAATGGGCAAAATGCATTTTGAAGACGAGGAAGGAAAACAAAATAACTCTAAGTTATCAAAGGTAGCAGTGCTGAGGCAGCTAGAAGGCTCAGAGTGGGAAAGGAGACCGAGAGAATAAACTATAATTAACCCCCAGGCTTCATTAGTGCCTAATATTACAGCAAACTTTGCATTTAGTAGGTCAAAGATAAAGCCATCCACATTAATTTATAGGGATCTATAAACAAACAATGCCAACTTTATGTGAACTCAATCACAGGTTAGAAAATATTATTTCCATTAACTTAAGTCATCATGAAGCTTATCAAAACATTTTATAATGGGCAACTCCTTTAGGCCTGTTGTATACCGGTCCTTTTTCCTTTTCCTCTCATCTCTCCCTTTTCTAGGCAGGTCTCACCATGTTCACTAGGATGGTTTTGAACTCACGATCCTGCCTCCATGCCCCAAATGCTGGGATTACAGGCTTGCACAATCACAGCCAGATTTGCTAGACTTTTAAACCAAAATAAATGATGGTATGAGTGGCAGGGTCGAGTAGGAGTAAATAAGAGTACACTTCATTCTAGAAGAAGTTACAGGTTACAAAGACGTGAAAAATAAAGATGAAGAAACAGACAGGGAAAAATAGTAAGAATTAAGGAAACTAAACATCAACTTCATTAAAAAAACTTCCTAAGTAATTTCCTACCGTCCTTTTGGGAGACGAGGTCTTACTATGTAGCCATGGATGGCCAGTTTTTTGGTTTTTTGGCCATTCATACTGATCTGTCTTAATTTATTTCAAAGAGTACTTACATGGTGATAAAAATATAAATTTGAAATAGGTTTGAAACAAACAAGAAAAATTATAACAGTGTAACTTTTCATGATAAAAGTAATCTTTTTTTCTTCATAGCAGTTAAGAGGCTTAACTTTCTAGGTATTCCATTCTAAGAGTACACCTTTATCAGTTTCATTAAAGAGGAATAAGTTCAAAGAGAAACAGCAGTGTCTCCTGACTTTCTGTATCCCTAACAAGTCACGTAGGGGAAGCAACGGCGTCTTAAAACGCCTTAATTAAACTCACCTCTACCACTGCTGTCCGTCCAGAGTTGCGTCTGCTTCTGTGTTTTCACTACATCAAATGGCAAAGTCGCAACAGCTGCAAACTATCAAAAAGTACGTTTAAATCCTTAATTTTTAAAAAAATATTTAAAAAAATGTGTTAGCACATGATTTAATATGGATAATCACAAAATCACAAACTGAATTTTAAAATAAACCAGATATACATAAATCTTTTATTGATGAAAACACATTACATCTCAAGGATTTATCATAAAAGAAAACTGCCTCAGAAAGTCCTCCGTGGCTTTCTACCCAGTGTTTATAACTCTGATTCTCCTGTGTCATACAATGCTATTGTACTACGTGTTGTCAGTGCAGACCTCAGACTTGCCTTCTACCTCAACCGAGGAGCCAAGGATTCTTCAACTCCTGACACTGATGTCTGTATTTGCCAAGTGTTGGGATTACAGGCATGAGCCACCACACTTAGTTTTTAACGTATTTTAAAGTAGAAATTCTTCAGTATGTATTGAGCATATGAAAATTTCCAGGAAACATTTTCCAAATACTAGACAAATTAAATTTAAAAGTTAATGAAAATGAACTTCAAACTTTTAGTTTCCATATACCTTTGAATCGATTTTATAACTGCAATGGTTCAACAATCACATTTTCTAAACTCTTCTCAAAGTAATGCAGTTTAACATCTTTTCCATACTATCTTAAGATTTAAAAAGATAATTAAATTACTTTAAGAATGTTCTCATATCTGATACAATATCCATATACAGCATTTTTGCTTCTTAGCTCATGTCTGAATAAATACATTCATAAAATGTCTCTTAAAAATCACATTTTATTTCATCGCTACAATGTGCTGTTTTGAGATCTGTTGCAAAGATTGCAGACAACATGAAACGTTGCCATTTTCTCATCTCCACAGTCCAGAGGCAGAGGCCGCTCCTGCGCATTCCAGTGTCAGCTGAGACACTTCTGATGTGGCTGCCGCAGCCGGAGCCGTGGCCGTGCACAGACAAATCTTTACTTGGAAGCTGTTAGTGCTGCCAGTTAACAATTATGTTCGGCAGCAGCACTAAATTGTAGTCGTTCCTATTCCTGTAGAGCTGGCGGACCCTGAGGCCATCATTCAATGCCGATTATTTTTGCCCCCGTGTTTACTGCTGGCTGAACTGATTTCGGCATGCTCAACACCGGCTGCCCTCCCCTAGGTTTTCTGGCGTATCACTCCAGTTTTCCTACGACGCCATCATGTCGTCAAGCTGGCCCCGCACCCAGGCCCCCTGCTTCCACCTCTCAGCAATCAGTGCTGGCTCAGCCATGCTGCTCTGGAACTATGCTCTGTCTGCGTCGTGCGGCAAATGACCACACATTAATTTTGGAAGTATATGGACCTAAGAAAACTCTCTCTGGCCAAGGATGAACCTGTACCACTTGGAGGCTGAGGAAGGATGAGCTTTCTGGTCCCGAAAATGGTCCTTTGTGATTCCTCCCTTCTGCTTTCAATGTTTCTCGGAATTCCTCTAGAAATTTCTAAATAGCCAAAATGTTTCCAAAGAACCACAGCAGCATAGGCTAGAACATCCTCTGTTTGGTTTGGTGATACACATTAGATAAAAACTCTATCCATATTTAGTTCACTGATTAAACTAATGGACTGCAAAATATTCTGTAAGAAAAAATGGCTGCATCCACACAACATGATAACTGGAATAGTCTAACCAATACAAGTTTGTTCAAAAATGAATGTGTGCAGCAGAGTAAAAACATAGAACGTACATTTGAAAATAATTTAATGGCTTATAATTTATTTTCTGAAAATAGGAAAAGATGTCCTTTCAATATACATGAAATGCTAGATAAGATCTTGTTCTGTTTCATTACTGTTTAGCAATCTTCTGGAACAGTAACAACAACAACATCAAAAAAAAAAAAAGAAAAAAAAAAACAAAACTTACAGAACCAGACAATGCCCCTGAAGCAAAGTTGATCATAAATGTCGGTTCATATAAACCAGATTTCTCACACAACCACTTCTTTAAAATTTCATAGTTATACCAGTACATTGCTATAAAACAGAGAACGAAATGAGCACAAATTTAGAAACACAATGTAGACTTTAGAGAATAGAGCTATAATGTTACAAGTCAAAGTAAACAGAAACTCTAGTCTTGGTTATTTATGCTTAAAACTAGATGGGACTAAAAAGGGGAACTGAAATTCTGAGTAATGTTTTAAGAGTCTTTTTTTTTTTTTTAAGAGTCTTTTAAGAAAACAAAAACTTCTACATCAATATAGCTAAAGTGTGAAAAAACACCTGACAGGGCAAGCAGGAGAAAGGACTGGTACGGCGATCCAGAGCACAGCCACCCAGAGCACAGCCATCCAGAGCACAGCCATCCAGAGCACAGCCATCCAGAGCACAGCCAGAGCACAGCCAGAGCACAGCCAGCCAGAGCACAGCCAGAGCACAGTCAGAGCACAGCCATCCAGAGCACAGCCAGAGCACACAGAGCACAGCCAGAGCACAGCCAGAGCACAGCCATCCAGAGCACACAGAGCGCAGCCATCCAGAGCACAGCCAGAGCACAGAGAGCGCAGCCATCCAGAGCACAGCCAGAGCACAGCCAGAGCACACA